GTCGCGGCTGTGTTCCTGCCGTGAGACCGGCCTTTCCCCTGGAAGCGCGTCTGTCGGCGGGTCCCGGGCTTTCCTGCTCTTTCTCTTCCTGTGAAATTAGAGGGGATTATCTGGGCGCCGAGCCCGCAGAACGGTACCCAGTGGGGAGCGTTCTGGTGTGTTTGCTCAGGCATCCCTCAGGGCGGGTCTTCTTCAGGTCATTAGTTAGGTAAAAAGCTACGTGGCTGTGTAGTGGTTTGGTTTTGGGGATGGTAGAGGCATGAGTTTTATATTTTTCCCCCCAGAAACTTAGTTGGGGAAGAATTCTTTCTTCCCCTGCCCCTGCTTCACACCCCCCGAGTGTAAAATAGTGAGTATCGCCCCCCATGAATTCATGACTAAAATAATGAATATCCGGTGTGTTTATGCTAGTGTGAAAGGCCTTTAAAATTCTCCACTATCATGGAATCAGTATTTAATTTTTACACCTAAGAGAGGTTCTAAAGGATATTAGGCAAACAGGAGAATTATGTAAGTTAGAGTTGTTTTTTTCGGTGTTTGACATCTTGGCGGTGGGGGGCAGGCTGCGGAGGGGGCAGGTATGTAACTTAGAAAGTACACCTTTTGACATTAACTGAATTATGAGGGAGGAGGTCACCTGAATCCAGATCATTCCCTTTGAAACAAGTTAGCTAGTGGGAGCGCTGAGGAAAAGTCTATTTGCAAATCAGTTTATATGGCTTGTCACTGCCTATGTTTCTAGATTCTTGTAATAATTTTTTCAAAAGAGTGTTTATTTAGAAGCCAGAGCTGGCATACTAAAAACAGCCCATGTACACAGACACTAAGATGTCCTGGAGGAATTACTGAAATATATTAACACTTTGGTCACATGGACATTGTGGTATCAGACTTTGCTTGATCTTTTATCTTTTGGCAGAAAGAGATTAAAACAGAACTGTTTTTTTCTTTAAAAAAAAAACAGAACCATGTTTTTGAAAAATGTCTCAATAGGTTTTAATTCGCTTTTTGAATTTAAACCAAAGAATACGTTGAATGCGTGACAAGTTAGCAAAGACATTGATAACTTATGAATGAAGCAAAGTAACCTTACTGCTCCTAGTGGGAAAATCTAATACTGAGGCAGATGTTCAGTTTCCCCAAAGATAACTGACATAACATAGGGCTTTTTTTGCGTTTTGGTTGGCCTAGGAGCAATGTATAGTTTGGTACTTTGAACATGCTTATGTACCGTAATTACACCTCAATAAAAGCATATGCAGAGTATCACGTTTAAGGAGCATTATAAGTGTTTTAAGGTGGGTGGTCGAGGACGGGGCAGGTGGAACCAGATGTTCATTAACCTCTGTACTGCAAGTCCTTTGAAGGAAGCCTGAGAGCGTGCTGTCAAGCTCTGCTGGTAGGGACAGTTAGGGACACTTAGGAACGTACTGGCTTTACAATTTTGATTCAGTAAGATAGGCAATGCTTTATATTCATACAGCTCTTAATACTTTATAAAGTGCTTCCATTTATATTATTTGATTTGTGATCCTCACAATTATTCTGCGAAGCAGACAAGGCACTTTATAGGTGAGAAGACAGGTTCAGAGATTCAGTGTTTTTCCCTAAGTCTCAAAACTTCTAAGCCTCAGCACTCTTAAGTGGCTGAACTAGGAAAACACTTTATTTCTTCTCCATTGTGGTTATAGCATTACATGGCATAGAGACAGGAACAAGAGTAGTTTTTAGGGTTAAGAAAATATAAACTTTATTAGAGATGCTTAACTATTTGTCGTGGGACATAAATGTAACAAAGTTCTTTTTTTTTTTTTAGGGAAAATCCAGAAAGAACCTTTGACTTGGTATTGAAAGTGAAATGTCATGCCTCTGAAAACGAAGGTACGTATGTTTTGTTAATTCAGAACAACTGCTGATGTAGATACCGGGACATGATCGTATCAGGGTAATACTAGTGTTAAATGTGTGTTCTCTGTCTGGTGTCTCAAGTTCTGGGAATGAAATAGATGCCAGGTCTTTGCCCTGAGACGGTAGGAGTCATGGATGTTATCCGTGCAGCCTAAATTTCAGTGGTATGTTAGGGACATGGAACTTACAGCTTAACTTTGCTGTTTGTTGACAAAGTTATTGCTAGTTTTGGTGGATGCATGCCTTTTCAGTTTCTTTCATTCATTTTTGAAAATTTAGCTCCGTTTTTAAGCACTAGGGAAACATTGCTCACCTGTTCAAATGAGAGCCACGCCAGTTTGCTTCAAATGTTTCCCAAATTCAAATGTTTCCCAAGTAGCCGCCGCCTCTGTAGGGTTTTCTCTTTCAGAGGGAGGTGAGCGGTCATGTGACATTACTTGGGAGGGTTTCAGCTGCCGGTTCTACATCATTTCCTGAAATGATGAACACGCTTCAGTGTCATGATCTCTGTCAGTTTCCCCCACTTGGCTGGGTGTGTATGTCCGTGGCGGGGACGGTGGTGGAGATGAGTGAGGGGTGTCTCCTCCGGCTTATTTCCTTCTTACCGTATGCTCGTGTCATCGTACCATGGGTATCTCCAGTATGTGGTGTCCCTGGCAGTTTACAGAGACCCTAGATAGCGTGATGATTCAGTGGGACTTTGTGGAGACCAGCTGTCCCTTCTAAAGCCTTGGTGGAAAGTCTGCTGACACTCTTAGCTCCAGAAACTGGCCAGCAATTATGTGCTCTTCAGCAATTTGGAGCTGCGCACCTTAAAATAGAGGAGCCCAGCCCAGCTGTGGTGACCTGGCCGGGGCTAATTTTAGGTAGGAAGTCATGCACGTTCCTGGCCCCACCTGCCCTGCCTGCTGCACCTCTGGCCTGTCTGAACTTCAGCTGGGGTCAGGTTTTTTCCCGGGCAGGAACTGATCCTAGGTTGTAGGTGAGCTTTTTCAGATTAAAAAGGTTATCTTTTGTTGTCCTGGATGTATTAAAGTTGGTCTGTTTACATCTTTCCGGGCCCAGATAAGGTCTCTTTGGAGACTCAAATGGATGCATTTTTTTTCAGTTCCAATTTAAATCTATTCTGTAGTGTATTTATGGTACAAATGAATCTTCAGAACACCTACCGTAACATCAGCTAACGTGCATGGACGGATGCTGACCCGATGTGTTTGTAAAGCAGGCTGAGTTCCTTTGAGAAACATAGTTTCTCTATAATTTCTAGTGCATGCTAACGTGGTCTTTTTCTTTCCTCTCCTTCCCTCCCCTCCCCCCTCCTCCTCCTCCTCTCTCTGTCTCGTGGTACGACGGTACGACGTCGGTACGTCG